CCTGACTAGACCAGTGGTTTTTCCTACTTTCTTCAGTTTAATTTTTCTATAAGAAGCTGATGATCAAAGCCACAATCAGCTCCAGGTCTTGTTTTTGCTGACTGTATAGAGCATCTCCATCTTTGGCTGCAGAGAATATAATCAATCTGATTTCGGTATTGCCGATCTGGTGATGTCCATGTGTAGAGTCGCCTCTTGTGTTGTTGGAAAAGACTGTGATGACCAACTTGTTCTCTTGACAAAACTCCATTAGCCTTTGCCCTGCTTGGTTTTGAACTCCAAGACCAAATTTACCTGTTGTTCCTTTTATCTCTTGACTCCCTACTTAGCATTTCAATTCCCTGTAATGAGAACATCTTTCTTTGGTGTCAGTTCTAGAAGGTATTGGTCAATTTCAGCCACTTCAGCATCAGTGGTTGCTTCATAAACTTGGATGACTGTGATGTTGAAAGGTCTGCCTTGGATTCCTATTGAAATCATTCTATCATTTTAAAGATTGTATCCCAGTACAGCTTTTCCCACTCTGTTGTTGACCATGAAGGCTACTCCCTTTCTTCTACAGGATTCTTGCCCACAATAGTAGATATGATGATCGTCTGAATTGAATTCGCCCATTCTCATCCTTTTTAGTTCACTAACGCCCAGGATATCAATGTTTATTCTTGCCATCTCCTGTTTGACCACATCCAGCTTACCAAGGTTCATAGATCTTACATTCCAGGTTGCTATGCAGTATTTTTCTTTGTAGCATTGGACTTTCCTTGCACTTCCACACACATCCACAGTTGAGCGTCCTTTTGGCTTTGGCCCAACCATTTCATTAGCTCTCAAGCTACTTGTACTTGTCCTCCACTCTTCCTCAGTAGCATATTGGACTCCTTCCGACCTGAGGGGCTCGTCTTCCAGCATCATATCTTTTAGCCTTTTGTTTCTGTCCATGGAGTTTTCTTGGCAAAGATACTGGAGTGGCTTGCCAGTTCCTACTCCAGGTGGATCATGTTTAGTCAGAATGCTCCACTATTACCTGTCCATCTTGGTTGTCCCTGTATGGCCCTAGCCCATAGCTTCTCTGAATTACTCAAGCCCCTTCACCACAACAAGGCAGCAATCTGTGAAGGGGACACCAAAGATTAGATTCTTTCCAAATAAAGAAGGAGGCTGGGACTAACCATTCTCTTTCAAAATAAGTAAGTTTGGTCTTTTCAGCGTATTTGGTCTGTTTTAAATCTACAGACAGAAAAGGTCACTGGTGCCTGCACAGGTGTCTGTGTGGTAAAAGAGCTTTACATTAAAAAATTATAACTTGCCCAACACTCCGAAATTTGGAACAGAGTGAGAGCAGACTTGTGCTGATCCAAGGTCCAGTTTCAAGGTTATATATTTTTGTTTGGGTGCCCCCATTTTTCAAATTGTCTTATACAGTGGTGCCTCACAAGAAGAACGCCTCGCGGGATTAAAAAACCGCAAGACGAATGGTTTTTTCGATCACTATGGTGCCTTGCAAGACGGCTTCTTCTATGGCCATGCTTTGCAAGACAAAAATTTTTTGAGACCGATGCCTCGCAAGACAAAAAAAAAATTCATTTGCATTGCAGTGCATTCCTATGGGAAGCCGCTTTTCGCAAAACAATTTTTTTGCAAGACAGCGCTTCTCGCGGAAAGAATTACATTCATCTTGCGAGGCACCACTGTAGATTGCTAATTTGCTCTGTTACATAACATCTATCAGTGCACTCTTGTGCAGCATTAATACAGCTAGAAATGGCACTTAAATTCTGTTGCCTAACTCTCTCATGCAGTAATAATAAAGTGTTGCTAATATCCTGCATTCCCTTACATAAACAATTTAATTAGTTTTCCTAATGTTTTTTCTTCCTTGATTTTGGATTGTGAAAGACTTGGTATTGTCTGTTTGGCAAAGACTTCCATTAGCAGAAAAGGAATGGAGAATGTTAGCAATAATTTGTGAGACAGACAGCTGATTTGCCAAACTTAGTACCATCTCTTAAAGTTGCTTGTATGTTTTTAATCACATACAGTAACATTCTTTCAACCAAATGATAGGGCAGTCTAGATTGTTTTGCAATATATTCCATTTATTAAAAAACATATAAATTGTAGTAAATGTGACTACTGACATTTAACCCAAGCACTTTATGATTGCACTGCATTTTGTGAAGGCTGGATTTCAAAACTGAGGGGTTCTGGACCCTGAATCTTTCTGGAAGCCTGTCAGAATAATGCTGTTTATGTGCTGGCTAGCTTTGACTCCTCAACAGTTAGGTATCTTGCCATCCTCAGATACACTTTTCATGAAAAAGTAAAAATGGTGTCTGTGGATCAGACCAAATCTACATAGGAGGTGACATACCCTGCAAAGCAACCCAAGCAAATAGGTTGAGAATGTAAGCCATATACCACATCCCTTTCATCTTCCCAGGCTGCAGTGTTGCCACCACGTTTGCCCCTTTTTCTATGACAAACCTTGTCTGCAGACTGCTGCAGCATGCCCCCAGAGTCTCTTGAATGAGCTGTGTGGCTGCCCTCCCTCACAGCTACAGTTAACAGGGCCCACCTGTATCCTGCCCTGGTGTGTTGCCCTCTCCTCTCCTTCTCCCACACTTTCTAGTAGAAGCTGCTGCAGTGGGTGCAGGCAGCATTCCTGCAGCCTCCCAGAAATGCCTACTTCTTCTACCACACCCACATTTCATACTGCCTGTAGCCTCTACCCAAAGAAGAGCAGTACCTGCTTCTCTTCCAGGAAGACATTCTACAACTTTAGTGCCACAGCAGAGAACACCTTCTCTTTCTTCTTCTCATGATGTGTTGCTCCCATTAGTCAGACACAGTGAAGGGCTTTTTTGCAGATCTCACAACACATAATAAGTGTTAAAACCCTTTGTTGCATGTGTTATGTAGGTGCATTTGATGTTCCTAAGGAAATATCTATAGACTGGCTGGATAGTTCCCCACCACCACATTATTGCCACAGTCTGCCAAAAAATAACATGAATAGCACAAGCCAGCACTTAAACCATGCAATATTTCTCTTCTACCATCTAGCCTGGCCACCCTCCCTGTAACTATTAAAGTAATAAATTACAGTTGCACAACAAAAGAACTGAATGTATCCTATATTGAATTAACAAGCAAAGCATAGTTTAGGTATACCTGTGTTATTGGAAAAATTAAGTATAAGTAACTAGCTTTTGTAACAAGTTATGTCTAAACTCTGGCCTTTGGTATAACAATTCAGTTCAGTTTTGATACTCAAAACAAATTCCTCTGTGGAAGAGCTAAGAGGCAGCATATCTTTGATTTTTAGAGTCTGTCTTTTACACCTAGCTCCAGTTTGTAAGGTTTGGTAAAACAAAATAGCTTTCTGTAGACTGAAATCTGCTCTCTTTTTTTGTCTGTAAGTGGCCCAGCATGCTTCCCCCACTTTAGCCTAATTTCAGAAGTCCTCTGTGAACAATTAATTCAGAAGGGGGGAAGGGGGACAAATGGAGAAAAGAGTGTGGCAGAGAATGAGAGAAATGTCAGACTGCTCAATCCAGTTTTGGGAGAATCCGGTCCCGCCCATCACTGGCTCTCAATGCACCTACCAACAACACAGCAGATGCACACTCTCGTACCTGATACACATTCCAAGAGAAAATCCTGTTCCTGCAGTATCACTGGTTACCAGTTGACATATATAAATTCTTCAAAAAAAGAAGAAGAAGAAGAAAAAAAGAAACACCCACCTCCAGTTAATGGATGTGGAATATTGTGTTTCTAGAAATTGCACTTGAATTCTGTCACCTAACCCAAGTCAGTTTTTATAAAATCTTGTTTACATCCTTAAATAAATTATTTTATCACAAGTTTTGACATCCTTGTATAAGTGGATCCTGCCCCACCATTTCAAAAATTATTGGTCTAAGATGTGATTCCACAAATGTCCCCACAGATGGTTGGAAGACAGAAATCAGACTTTGCCTTGAGCTAAACTAGAGATGAGGGCAAGTTCCTTTTTGGGGAGGGGACTACAGCTTCCATGGTTCACACTGGTCATACTGGCAGACTTTATACCAGTTGTAGTCCAAAACAAAACAAGGTGGGGGAAGGAAAAGAGAAAGGGGGTGGGATTTTTGCCCCATGGCATAAAATGCTCAGATCTGCTGGTTGGTGATGCACTTAGAACTTTCAGCCAAAGAACTATGGCAGAGAATGTGATATATCTTAGTAAATTATAAACCCTAGGATTTAATGTGGTAGTGGAGCCTTGACAGTTAAAATAGGATCAAACCACTGTGTAATGTAGATTCTTCCGGATTTTCTCTCCAGTGCTTTCTTCAGCACTCTCCATGATCTGACTGGCTCCAGAAGGTTTCCAGGACCTCTAGATCTGGCTATTATAGGGGTATATTAGGCATCTGTAGGAATGGGGAATTTGCCTCTCCCCTTAGGTCTATAGGATACTATTCGGTAGTGGCTCACAGACTGATTTGGGGCCACCAAGGTTGTGTTGGGTTTTTTTTGCAACCCATCTATTATTCCATTGTTCCACCAACATAATGTCATCACTGGATCTTGTGCATTATGTGCCTTCATTAGATAACCCCATAATCCTTTTTGTTTGTTTGTTTTTGAAAACATGACTTATTTCTTAATCTTAAACACTATGTTTCAGTTTGTGTTTACAAGCTTTTGGATATTATACACTTACGATCGGCAGCTGGTTTACCCCAAAAACCTTGATTTGGTCATCCCTGAATGGATGAATCATGCAATGGTAAGTAAAAAGAAAAGCAGGGGTGGGGATCTTGAATTGAACAAAGTAATCTTCCATAAATATTCCATTGTAACACAGTTTATACAACAGAAAGCAGGCATTATCAAGCCAGTAATGCATTTTTAAGTTCCATTGAGTCCAGCCAAAGGGTCAAGCACACTCTTGATCCCTCTCATTGAAATAAATAAATTTAGAGAGAAGTGTTTCATGTTGGCTGGATGATGTTCAGATATTGGAAATTTTTATTTGTTTCTTCTCTGCCTTCACTTTAAAAAGCAGAGCAATGAGTGAGTATGGGAATTGCTGAGAGAAGCCTTGAAGTAAGGGAAGAAGTCATTAATGAACCACAGCTTGCCAAGTTTAAGTCAATGAAAAGATGTGGAGTCATTCAGTGTGTGTATGTGGAGGGGAGGGGAGTGGCGAGAGACTCTGCCAGTTACGACAATGCATGCAAAAGAATGAAGCTGCTGTAAACAGAGTGTTATATAAACTAGGATGTCTGGGAATACAAAGGAATGCTTGTCAATTTTCAGAAAGGAATGAAAGAACCAGGAAGGTTTAGAGAGAGAGAGAGAGTGTGTGTGTGTGTGTGTGTGTGTGTGAGTGTGACTAACCAAGCAGCTGATTTGCATGATAGCATAAGAGAGGAGCAAACTAGTTTCTACAAAGTTGTTGAAATCCAGTTGCTTAATATAGTAACTTGCAACTGCATTAGGTCCATTGAGTCAGTGATGCTTACAGAGGAGTTGACTCACCAAATCTCCAGTGGTTTCATAGGCCTGCTCTAGTTGCAACTTTCTATGCTAAGCAATAGGGTTTCAGCCATTATGTTCTAAAATTCATTTTAAAATTGCCTTGGCTTAAACCTACACAGAAAGGGAAAAGATTTGCCAAAAAAAAAGAGTGACTCTGCTGGCCAAGGGCAAAGATGCTGCCTGTAAAATAGAAGCAGTGGGCGTGTGCTAAAGTAAAGATTCGTCTTCTTGAGGATAGTGGGAAGAAAAGTTCCGTACAAGAATGAGTCATCAAAGCCCAAAAGAATGAAATAATCATACTCAAGATTCACCTTTGCTTCTCTCAGCCGCCTTGGTTCAGTTCCATGTTAGACTATTAGCTTTAACTCAGGCAGGACTACTGTAGAAGAAAGACTCACAGTCTGTGCCCAAATTGTCCAAATACTGCAGCAGGGACATGGAACAAATTCATTTGCATCCCTTATTCCTTTATTCCTGCCAACCTAGCTGTTCAAAAGCATGCAAGTGCAAGTAGATAAATAGGTACCACCTCGGTGGGAAGGTAACAGCATTCCGTGTCTAGTTGCGCTGGCCATGTGACCACAGAAACTGTCTTCAGACAAACGCTGGCTCTACAGCTTGGAGACGGGGATGAGTACCGCACCCTAGAGTCAGACACAATTGGACTAAATGTCAAGGGGAACCTTTACCTTTACCTATTCCTTTAGAATCCTGGTTGAGAGGAGAGAGCTTGGAAACTTGTTTTTTTTTTTTTAATATACAAAGGGATTCTGGGAGTTGCAGTTTAACAAAAACATTTCTAGGCTCTGGTGAGGAAGATGGATACAGGGGTCTGACGCATAGGTGAAAACGTGCCTTTTAACATCTTGAAGTCTTTACATGGCAGTGTGGTGTTATGGTTAGAGTGTGGGACTGCAGAAAACCAAATTCCATTCCTTCCTCTTCTTCAACCAAGAAGCTGTCTGGGTGACGTTAGGCCAGCAATTTCCTCAGTGTCACTTACCTGATGGCTCTGAGAGATGGGGGTAGAGCTGTGCATCCTTGAAACTCCTCAGAGGAAACAGGGAATAAAAATGAAAATAAATAAATAAATCAATAGAAATTTCTGCAGCCCCCCAGCAACACTTTTGTCATGCAAGCAAGCAGGAAACACCACAGAATGGACTCAGAACTGTGTGTCAGATAGCAAATGTGCTAAATACAGGAGTAGGAATATAGCCATTGACATGTCAAAAATTTTTTACTCGTTCCCTGTCCCAAGTTTTATGGTCATGGGATTTGGGGTTAGACTTGCAATGTCATCAACCATATGGGCAAGAACTCCTTTTTAATGGAAAAAAAAAATCAAAGTTGAACAGATTGAGCATCCAAATAGCTTTATCAAGGTTCAGAGGGAAATCCGGATCTAGCATAAATCTATTTTACTGTGATTCATATGACAGAAGTGAAACTCTGAGCAGAGTGTACTGCACTAAGTGCTGTGATCAGATTATCAGTGTTAATTTATCTTTTTGATTTAATTAGTTACATTTCTATCCCTCATTACAGAAGAGCTACCTCACACTGACTCTTGCATGTCACCCTTCCTGACAAAGAGCATAGCATACAGGTTGGCTGATTGTAATCTGTGTGTATCAATAGGACTTGAAAAACCTAATGATAGACTTGGTGTGAAATCCTTACCCACACCAGTTAGCAACTGCATGATTGTGTGTGTGTGTGTGTGTGTGTGTGTGTGTGTGTGTTTGCCTTCACTGTGGCTGCAGTTCAAATGGGAGCTTTACATTTGCAGGGGAAAAGTTATATGGACACAAATGGATCAGCAGGAGAACAGCAGCAATAAATGCTGTTGCAAACGTGTTCAAATAAAAAAATGTTTAGCTGAGATATTTAGGCTACAAAGATGAGCCCCTCCCACATTCCTGGTATAATTAATTACCAAAATAAATAAATAAAACTTATTTATTTTAATGTGCAGGCATATGTGCTAAAACCTAGGTTTCTGGTCAGCAATATTGACAGGAGTGGCTGAAGACATTTTGCTGCTGACGGGAAAGACACAATGAGGCCTCTTTCCCCATTCTACAGCTAACTGGACCACCAATATTTTAAATATATAAAATGATAATAATAATATTGACAATAGTAGAGTAGCACTATTCATGATACCTGAAGGTGGCAGAGGTATATACTTGGAGCTGTGTGTACTAATGCACATCTGAGAGCAGAGCTTGGAAAAGTTACTTCTTTGACTGGTCATGCTGGCTGGTGGATTTTGGATTTGGGGAGTTCTGTTACCTGAAAAGTACCTTCTCCAAGCTCTGCAAAACTTGAATGCATTAGCCAGAAGCTAGGTTGAAGAATTCAGCTCAGCTCTTGATGTCCTAGGCCAGGGGCCCACAAAAACACTGACCAAGTGGGCAGTGGAGGTCATCGTTTTCTTTCTAGTGCCTACAGTGCTTAGAGTAGAGACCACCACATTCTGCAGTGTGGAGAATTCAAAACTGAAAGGGATGAAATGATTTCTCAGTTCATGCTGGGCAGGCTATCACCCTCTCCCAAGAAAGGTTTTGAAGGTAAGAAGAGTTCAGTTCATACTAAGCTGTGGAGACATCTGGAAGCAGTGAGAAAGAGTTTGACTGCTTCCATGTGTCCTCAAAGGCTGGCCCCTTCCTCTTCCTGAGTCCTCTGTATGTGTGGTAAAATTATTCACTGTTTAGTTGCTTGGAGTCTGGTTATCTTAGTGTGTCAGAAACGACCCTCAGAGGCATGTTTTTCAAACCATGTTCCAGGAAACTCTAAGAAGCCTCAGGAGTTCCTTGCTAAAAATATGGCAACTGGAAGACAAATTCTCTGAAGGATAGCTTGACAATTACTGTTGTTTTCCTCTACAGTGTAGCACATTAGGAGAGGGCTAATGGCACCCCTTCTTGAATTCAGGTGTACAGTACCTGAGGTCAGTTATTTTGGAATCTGAGGCAGAAGGTTCCAGAAACACCTCTCCCCTTCCCTGATGATAAAGAATAATTAATGCCATTAGCAATTTGCTGTTGCTCCCTGAGAACCCTAACGATAGGGCCAGTCCTGCTAGGGAGTATTCTGTCTATCACAAAATACATTTTTGTTTCAGAGGGAAGATGATAAGACCTAAGCCTGGCTAGTGTCTCAAACTAAGGGAGTGTCCATTCTAAAATAGCCACTCCCCAGAATCTTCTCCAGGGTCTAAGGAGAGGATGGATAACCTGGGCCTCCAGACATCACTGGATTACAACTCCTGGATAACAGGAGTTGCAGTCTAACAACAGCTGAAGGGCTGCAGATGGTCTGTCTATACATTATGAGTTCTGTGGCGGGCCTACAGAGAGACTGGCAGGGTGAGCAAATCAATGTGGAAAATGTTCCCGCAGGACTGAAACTTTGAAAGCAAATGCCTTGAATAAATGAAGACTTTGCCCCATCCCCAAAAGTCTGAACCCTTCAGTTCAGTATTTAAACTGTATGTAAATTGAAACTATTCGTATAGTAGTGTGCTGTCCCAGTAAGTGTGGCAGAGTGACACTCTTTCCTCAGAAAGTAAAGCTTTTAATTAAACTGTAGAAGTAAATAAATCAAAACAAACAGCATGGGCCTTATAGTAAAATAAAGCTTTCATAAGCAGTCTGAATAAAATCCTTCATGCATTCGATTCATTATCAGCCAGATCACTACGTGCAATCTTTGTTCAGATCAATGGCTTTGGTTTTGGGGGGTTGTTTTGCTTTGTTTTGTTTTGGTGAGGTGTGTGGTGAAAGTGAAATGTTTCATTCTCCCTCTGTGATAATTATTTTTCTTTGTCACTTTTACTTATTACAAATGAAACTGAAAAGAAAACTGTTAATGGGAAACACAGGAGTGAGTCACTATTTCCAGACATTTTTGCCAGCTCTCAGAGACTGGTGTCAATCTGGGCCTAATTATTACGATTTGCTTTTAAAACTTTTTTTTTAATTGCTCAAAGAACAAAGCTTGCAATTACTTGAATGAATGCTAAATTAAACAATACATTATACTGGAAATGAAGTTTAATTGCCTTTAATGGCTTGTGGTGTGTGGCATGACAAGAGCCATATTTAAATTGCTATGAGTAGGGCACATTTTTCTGTGAAGAAAACAAAATGCATTTAAAGGACTTTCCGCTAATTTTAAATCACAGTATATGGTCCATTACTACAGGCAGTGTCAAAGCCAGCTTTCCATCATCTAGCATATGCAATTCATTTAGAAGGCTTATTGAAAGCTGCTGGCAAATGGAAAAGTTTGCAATCACTGGCTGACTTGTACACCTCTTTGGTATTGGGTTTTATCAGCATTAGCAACATGTACTTTTCTAAAGGTATTGTGTGTGGGTTTTTTTAAAAAAAACCTGTAAATTGATGTGAATGGTTAAAAATAAACATAGAGGCAGGCTTAAATGAAATGTCAGGAATCACGGACCAGCCTCACTTTGTTATCTCAGGATCTGTGGTTCAAAAAAAATGTTATTTGTTTAGGTCAGTGAGTCTCTTTTTTGCCTTGGATCTCATACATAAAATGCAGGAATGAACAATATACCTGCTCTAGAATGCCAGGAAATACAACAGTTCTAGAAATAATGAATATAAATTAAAATATATAAAATATAAAGCATATGCTGGGGAATTATAGTCTTATTACTAAAAGATGCTTCATCTATCTACAGTATATCTGTTTATGTATGAGCTAGTTTTCTGACTTCTACTGTTGTCTATGTGACTTAGTTAAAGCATCCCCTCCTATTGTTTGGGGTGGAGGGAAGCACGTTTTAGTGCATAATTAGGAGTAATTAGGAGTTTCACAGATTCACAATGAATACAAATTTGTATAATACAAACTGTGTTTTCTCTGCAGCACACTGCTATATTTCCACTGGCCCTGCTGGAACTTTTTACTACCCCTCGACGTTACCCATCAAAGGGTAAAGGTTTCAGCTTGTTGGGAATTGCTGGTTTTGCTTATACCTCTTGGTAAGATCTTATTTTTAATGAATAAAGTCTCTTTCACATGATTCTTTGGCAAGAAGTCAAGAGGGGATTCCTTCTCTCACCTAGTTATTACATACGGCCAGATGACCTCAATTGCAAAGACTTCGCTTTCCTCAACCCTGCTGAAATAAATCCTGACTGTTCAGCTACAAATGAACTCCTGATCTGACTTTAGAGAAGCTTTGGAACTATGTGAACGACTGCAATTATACAACCCATACATTAGGCTGTACGAGGGGTTTTTTAGACTAATCAAATCCTAAACTTAATGAGATCATGCACGGTGCTTATCCACATTCTTTTCCCATGTGCCCATTTCCTTTATTACTCAAGTGCTTTGCTTTGTGCTGTCTCCAATTCTTACTGTTCTGAGCTTTGAGACCCCCCCCCTTCAGCTCATTCATTATACTTGCAGTTCTTGTCTTTCACAGTCTGCTGCAACCATAATGAGAAAAGCCACTTGTTTTGGGAACAAAGTTGAGAAAATTCTCCAACCACCATAGCTATTGGTTCTGCCAGTTAGGGGGTTCTGGGAGCTGCAGTCCAAAAACAGGAAGGAAGGAAGGAAGGGAAGGGAAGAATTCCTAAGTTCTGCCTGTAGTACTACAGGGGAAGGAATGACAGAAGTTCATTTCATTCTGGCAGAGGTTGAGAACCTGTGGTCCTCCAGATTGTGCTGGATTTTGATTCCTATTATACCTGACCATTAGTGATGCTGTCTGAGCAGCAGAAGTTGAAGCACAGCAGTATTTGGAAAAAACACAGCTTTTTTCATCTGTGCCACGATGCAAGCAGTTCCTCCTATTGTGGGTTTACAGACAGTGGTGGAGAGAAGATTGTCCACTGAACTGCATGTAAAGTCTATCTCTTTTGGAATAGAAGCCTAGTACCAGCTGTTTTTGCAGTAGTGGTCCATGATCTGTAAGCCATTCCAGCAGCCTGCTGGTTGAAAAGTAAGATATACATGCTTTTAATGAATCAGTAACTTGCAACAAAACCAGAGAGTGGCATAGACCAGGACACTGGGTTTGATCCAGACATATTCATATGTACATTTCTCTATGGGTGATCTTCGCTGAACGATGAGGTATTTCCCCATTGGAATGCATTAACTGGTTTTCAATGCATTCCAATGGTTTTTTTTTCACTTGACAATTTTGCTTAGCAGCGATTTTCCTTGAACGGATTATCGTCGTCAAGCGGGGCACCACTGTGGATGGAACTGAAATCAATCACCCATGACTTCATTTCCATCTGATCTATTTAGGTGGAACTAGTTAAAGTATGACAAGGTCTGGAACTAAACTGAGGTGTATGTCTTTGACTTGGGACATCATAATGAAAAATACATTTTCTTCTCTTCTAGGGTCCTGTGGATTTACTCTGTAACTGGGAAGTGGGTATACCCTGTCTTTGAGGTTCTAAGCCCTCTTGGCAGAGTAGCCTTTTTCTCTATAGGTTTTCTCATCATGTTCTTTATCTATAACGTGGGAGAATTTCTCTGCCGCATGATTTGGGGTAAGTCCAGTCTTACAAAGAAATTCTCTAAAGTTAAAAGGTAAGCACACATGATACCTTTATTAGACCTATAAAAATTTGTACAGAGAAGCTAGCTTTCAATCCATGCAGATCTTCATCACTAGGCACAGGAAGTCTTTGTGTGTGGTGCATAAAAAAACATAAAACTTCCTGGAATTCATGGCCAAGTGTGTAGGCCAAGGTTCTCTGCTTAAAGCACGCTTCAAAATGAGGGCTGTGATCATGGCTTTTTTCTTTTTGTCCTCTAAAGTTAGCAATAAAAATTGCTTTTATTAGCCCACATCTTATATATTCATGGCAGACTAAAAGACTAAAGAAGGAGGAATTAACTGATTAATTCATAAACCTAAATTAATTGATTTTCATAGCTTCCTTGCTTTGGAAACAATTATTGTTCCCATAGTCTGTTTACATGTCTGCTTTTCTCCACTGTTGCATTCTATCCCACTCCCGTTTTTGAATGTTTCAGGATTTTTCCCCCTCCAATTTTTCACTTGTTTGCTGAATGTGTACATTCACTTTTTGTTCCCATGTCTTCATATTTTCTTTCAGTGGCTCATACTCAATTTTTGTATATTTTTCAAAAGTGTTGTTCAGATGCTCTGAACTTCATTAAGGCTCTGAGACTAAAACCAGAACGGTGTTAACAGGTAAACAACCTATAGACCACCAATTGCAATTGATATAAGTGCATACAGTATATGAAGGGGTAAACTCTGGTAATTGTCATTTTCAGGGGCAGGGTACTTCCGTGTATGATACAAAACACTACCCCTGAAGCTTATGTGCCTTCTTGCATGGATGGAAACAAGGACCAGACTACATTGCAGATAGCTTTAATTAGAATACCGAACTGGCTAAATGTTGAAAACATCTGATTGTCCCAGCAAAAGCTTTCCAAAAGCTGTAGTTTTCACATCACCTTGCTTTTTTGTGATTATCATGGGGGTGTAAGAAAAAGAATAAATTGCAAGTAGAACTACTAATTCATGAAAGTCTGCCTGAATCACATGTTATTACAATTCAGACATACGTAAGAGTAGATCCCTGTCCTAGCCTAGTTAATTTTACTGCAGGACACAGTAGTTAGCATCTTTTGTTGTCTACAAGCAAGTCTGCAACCATCTTTCATTTCTGTTTTGGCAGTGACAAATTACAGCCAGCAGCATTCTGGTGGATATATTTTCCCCATGAGCTATTGACTCCTTATGACTCCTTAGTTTGTATTTTCTTCTCTAGTATAGAACAAAAACATGTACTGTTGTACTCTTCATTTTTCATCCCCCCTCAGTAACACCTTTCTGTTCTTCCATGCCTTTGTATACAGGTGACTCTATAGTAATACTTGACATTTACAAAAAGAAGAGTAAATGAAACATTGATGTTGCAGAAAGACCTAGAGGAATGATGAAATCAATGAATACAAATTATGAACCATTGAAGACAAGTGAGAAGCTCTCTCTGTGTGAATCCTTCTCTCATCCTTTTGTTTTTTAGTGTCTTCCAAGAATGCTGAGATTACAAATAAAATAAAATAAATTGTATCGGGGCTGGGGAATCAGGCTGGACAAAACACTCTTCTATGGATTTCAGAAAGGTCAGGATGGATCCCCAAGCACATCAAGCCACATGCCAGGCCTACTGAAATTGCTCAGGCACCCAGCATGTGCCAGTGTATGCACTGGTTTGGGTGTGGGTGTATGAATCTACCTAATCTGCACTGGGAGAGCTGCAATAGTTTTAGCAGCCTTGGATGTTCATGCATATGTATCACACTGCTATGGAAATGAAAGTTCCCACAAGGACACACAAAGCTAGAGGCTTGCTGTACCCAACCTGATGCAGATTATACCATTCCCCCCCTCTCCTGAAGGGCAATCTGGGGCAGGATTTATACCAGGAGGCCCTTTGTAGGCCTGAAGGGATTTCAGCTCTGGTGATATGACTGCATCAGTGTGTGCCAGACCTAGAGGCCTCTAGGTAGGAAAGGCCCAGAAGCCCTTGTGGAGTTGACAAGGATTCTGGTCGCCATGCTGAGATAAAATGAAAAGTAACATTGATTCTTCCCCTCCAACTATGCAGCCTCTTTGCCTAATTGTACTCAACAGCCTTAGTGCTTTTATAGCTAATACTCACAGATATGATCTGTATAACTCCTGAAATAAAGATTAACAAAGGAGATATCTGGTTTGATAAAACAGTGAATTCAAATCTACAATTATGTTGCCCTGACACGGGGTTCCCAATGAATCTTTTTGTGTTAGATCATGGTGGATAACATGGGGGAGAAATGAATGATGGCATTCTTTTAGGTGGTCAAAGGTGGCGGGAGGCAGTAGTTAATATATAAGATAAATGCACCAAGCATCCTGTTTTTAACTAATGCCCAGAGCCATGTTAACCCATGTCTTGTGCCCCTAGGCTTTCAGGTACTTTGCCCCTCTGCCACCCCTGGCACTTTAGGCTTTCATCCCACTGCAGCTGACAGCCCTAAGGCACCTCAGGAAAAAAAACTGAGGGGCCCCTTAGTCCCTGTGGGACCCCCAGGTTTCAACCTAGTCACCCTTATGAAGAATACAGCCTTGCTCATGTCATGGGAGAAGTCTTCACTAAATTCAAAGTGACTCCAGCATGAGGCTTCTTGACATATTAATATGTGTATTTTGGAAAGACATGGTTTTCATGCTAAGGTTTCAGATATGGTAATCCCAGTTTTAAATAATGTAATTATGACAGCTCCATTAACAGACTGACAAAGTGTACAATTTACAGTGCTATTTAACATACATTTATCTGCCATATTTTACATTAATTTACTAATCTAACTAGCTAGTATCTATGGTTATTTTTGGTGTCTCATTAAGCCTTAGAGCCCAGGAACATTTCTAAAAAGACGAATAAAGAATTAACACGACTGTGCGTTCTTTATTGGTCAGTTTTCTTAAGCACTAAGTGCAGTGGCTCGGTTTTAGTTTTTTTAAAAAACCTGCTAAGAAGGACAAACAGAATAACCATGTTAGTGCTAAGAGCCCTCTCCAAACTCAGTGTCTGATAAAGCCTAAAAAAAGAGGATTCTTAATCTTCCAGATTTTCTCCACAGCTTGGTGAATTTACTTTTTAAAACTTTAGCACCCACAATGTCCAGCTGAAGTATTCAGGTAGTTATAACAATTATATAATAATTTTTCTAGCTGGCAGAGCCAGTCCTATCATGAAGTAAATACGGCTGCCTCGGGTAGCTGAATGGGAGAGGGGTGTGATGAAAAACGAGAACATTTTTAGTTCTATTTAATTTGTGTCTATTTTATTTTTATTGCCAGGGATGGGGGAAAGTGTTTGTGGGATTTTCTGCCTCAGGTTCCAACCTAATTTGGATGGCTTTGAATACTATGCATCCTGATCTGGGGGTAGGGGCAGGGATACTGTGCTGCTCAGCTTCAGGCAGCTGTGTGTTTTGGGATGGCTCTGATAACTGGAAATAATTGAAATATTAAAAATACTTCTTAAAGTTCCAAACCAAATGCTAAATTACTGCTCTTGATTAATCCCCTTTGCAATCAGGAGCCATGTAGCAGTATTGATGGTGTGCACTTAATTATATGTTTTCTACCTTTCTGCAAACATATATAGACCCACAACCTGCTAGGCTATTTGCTGATGGTGTAGATCAGTCTTTCCAGATGTGTCCCCAGATGTGCCCCCACCATCTCTACCCAATATGGCCAACAGCTGTAGTCCCACACAACTAAAGGGTACCACATTGGGAAAGTTTGGCATAAGATTTGCCTATGCATTCATTCCAAGGGTAATTGGTTATATTTAGCAAAACAGAAAAGCGGATGAGTTGGAAAACAATTAATGGCCTTGTTTAACTTCTGGCCTAAATGCAACTGCTCATCCCAGCTAAAGTAGACCCACTGGATCAATTGTTGAATGGTAAATTAACATTTACATAAACCTGACTGATTCATTGTATCAATTCTTGTTGGGACAGGGAATTAGATTTAGACAGATATTTAGAGCTATTCTACATTCAGCTACACAGGATAACAAGGGAGAGGTTCAGTGAAAACTTATTCAGTGATTCTGTGATTCTTTTTATTGGCAGCAGTTCTAAATTTATTGAGATTTAGTTATAGCCATGTTATTTTGGGACCTGGGGCGGGTGTACATGCTCTATTAATTAAAAAAAATAGTGAGGAAAAACTGCCACACACTCACACAACCCAGCTGTACATAATACTTTTATTGTGCTTTTCATTCTGTCTGAGGAATGAAATCAGAAAATAACAAAATCCCTAGTGTTAAATGACAGATCTATACATCTAGCATGGCACCTGAGATCCTGGATGATGACTGAAATGTTAGTCCAGTTCACCAGGAAGACTTTAGTTCAAATTCCCACACTTCCTTGGGTCAATTACTCCAATCACTCTTAACCTAATCTACCTCACAAGGCTGTTGTAAAGGTAAAATGGGATAATTTCACATCTACACTCCTGACCTCTTTTGAGGAATGTCAGTATGCCAAAATAATAATTAAAGAAGCTAGTTTACCTTGTGAGGGTTAAATAACCTGTTAAGAACCTATTGCTTATTAGTATGTGTGAGAGAAGAAACCAAAAGGACAAAGTTGAAATTATTTCTTAAACATCATGAAATTGATGTACATGCCAAAAAAAAAAATGTTTCTATATTCTGCTTTTTCAAGAGAACTGATCAGAAAACCTAGGACTGGTATTAAATTATTTATTGGCTGGAATTTTATTGGTGTTCATGGGAAGTTTGCATAACGTGCCATGGCTAATTGCAAATAACTGATGACATGCTAAGGTACAAAGGGTAATATTGTTGCACATATTGTTGTTAGCTGCCCAGAGTGGCCTGGTTGCCAGATGGTGCGGGGTATAAATTTAATAAATAAATAAACAACTCAACTGCACAATCAAATGCATCAGCAGGCAAGCAATCACCCCAACACCTCATATTTGCCACAATTAGCTGCAGCAAGTACTGTAATATGAATCTAATGCAAACACCAATAAGATTCTGTTCCTTTATCTTTTTTTTCAACCTGTGGTGGACCACTATAGAAAACAGTGTGTTACAGTGGGCTACATGTTATCTTCCAAATGAGAGATCTTGCTTCTTAGCTATGTCATTCTGGTCACAACTGATATGAAAGAGTAATGACTATTCAAACAGCAAGGTTACAGTCTAAGCTTCAACATGTCCCCATGCTGTACACAGGCTTTTAACATGCCTCGGTACCAGTGGTGTCTTTCTAAAAGCCTAATTGCGACATAAGACGATCCATTTTTGAGAAGGCGTTCTGCCTTGAGGAATCAGGAAGCTGCAGTCCAAAGAAATACTGTTTTGATATTAAGGGTGGCTTTGCTCCCCAAACAATTCCTTGGAGGACGCAGCCGTAGGACGACAGTCTATTGGCCCATCTCAGAAAGAATTGTTTCTCTGTTGTAACAGCTCTCTAGGACTTGGGATGGGAGGATTTCAGTACTCTTGCCAAGGACTGGACAGTGGCCAGTCAAGCGACTCTGGGAAGGCCCCAAGATAATTAACACTCTCCTTGTTATCCAGCAAACAGTATTCAGAGGCAAGCTGGCTCTAATCCTAGAGGAAGCTTACAGAGATCACGATGAGTAACTACTGCTAACCTTATCTCTTTGAGTCATCTTTATTTAAATCTGGTATTGCTCAGGGGGTTGGAGCATCTAGCAGTGGTGCCAGGGCCAAATGTTCAAATCCTCACTCTGCCTCCCAGAGATAACCCAGTCAAGATTAGCAGGAACATGCCTGGTTGAAGAGGTTACATGTCCAGCAAGCTGCATGTCCCAGAGCAGCAGCAGTGACTGGTAAACCACTTATATTTTACATCTAGAAAATCTGGAGAGGCTCATTGTAACTTGGAATTAATGACACATTATCATTAGTTGGTCCCTATTGCACCTCATGGTAGGAAACTCCATTGTTTAACTATACACTGTGTGAAGACATACTTCTCTATGTCTTCTGCATCTCCTGTCGTTTACATTTGTGGGGTGACCCCTGAATCCTAAAATTACAAGAGAAGGAGAAAGTTCATCCATAGGAAGAACAATTTCCACACAGCCTGCATAGTTTGGTGACACGCCCCCCTCCACTTCACCTTTCTTTTAAATTAACCATCCTCCAATGCTGCAGCCTATAGGGTTGTTGCTGCAATCATCCTGCTGCCCTTTTCTGCACCTTTCCCAGCTCTACAATATCCAATTTCCATCTGTGCCTAACTGGAGAGAAGAGATGAAGCTGAAAACTTTCTCCTCATTTTCTTCTGTGAATGTTTATCCTATTAAATTGTACTCTTACCATTGCATTCCTCAAGTCTGGGGGCAGCACAATAAAGCAAAATATTATGAGATGGGGGACAAAATGAATCAAGTAAATCTATTGAGCACCACCTTCTGGTAAAGGAATTGCATTACTTTTCAAGCATAGGCAACTTTCAAACCGCTTGAAGACCAGTGCTCTGTTATACAGTATGTGTAAGCAGATACTTGGACGCCTATCTTTTGCACTGGATCCATAATCTCCATCACGCTTTGACAATCTGCTTTCAAGAACAATGGCATGACACCCAGCCCCAGTTTTTGCTTAACAACTAGACCTGAAGAAAAGGCCTTAATGACTCAAAAGCTCTCCTTGTTTGTAAGCTTTTACCCAACCCAGCACATGTTATCTGTTGAGATCGTAGTGCTGTCATCTGTGGCTGTACAGTAAGGATGACTGGATGAGAAAGAGATCAGGGTTCCTCTATTTTTAATAGTTGTGCGATAGAGGAAATTTCAGCAGGTGTCGCTTTCATTAAAAACCCCACCTGCTGAAATGTCCTCTTCTAAGCTACTATTAAAGGTACAGGAACCTTATCCTTTTTAAATCTGGTTACTCTACATAAATCTTTTGGATCTCCTTTTCCTGGTAAGAGTAGAAAGAATCAAGTTACATCTCAGGGTGAGTGATATAATTTTGCAAACCTGGTACACAACCCTGACATCCCCAACATTGAAGCTTGGATGCTGAGGAGAGGCAAAAGCAGAAGGGGGAGGGGCTCTCGTATTTAGCTGGCAGACAAGATGCTGGCATGGATCTACAGGACTTATAATCTTCCCATTGCCCCCAGGATTGCTCCAGAATGGAAAGAAATGTATGCTGTGCTGTTCCTGCAGGGCTAGTGTTTATAATTTCCCTCTCATTGTATTGAATGGCAAGGAAAGCATAAAACAAAAGTGAAAAATTCAAAACAGGGCTTTGTGTTAGGTAGTTCCTAACGTTTTGGATATATTTTGTATCACACTCATCAGAAAGACTGCCCAACACTTTATATTGGTTGCATAAGTAATATCCCTGTAAGGCAGCAAAGACTTGCTTAAAACAATAGAAATACACATCCCAAAAACAATTAAAAAGGCAATAAAAAAGGATGTTGTATGTGAAAAATATGTAGACTCATGAAGTTGGGCTGCCCCAATAGAAAAGCAGGGGGCAGTGAAAAGGTAAGCAGCCCTAAAAAGAAACAGAATACAGTAAATAAATCAAAAGGGTGCAGCTTGAACCCATAATACCCACATCCAAATCCTTTCATCTTTACACTGTGCCATCTTTTTAGTTTGTTCTGTTCTTATTTTTTCTGTGCCAATATTTTATCTTTGCCAAGAACCCAATACAATAAGGTAGGCTCTCCCACTTAAAGACCGAAAAGTATACATCTACTGCATTCTCTTTTGCTATATTTACAAACCCACAAGCTTTCCACAATCCCTTCCATCAAAAATCATCCTCAAATTATTAAGAGGACATCATTTTTAAAAAAAGGTTATCTGACATTTATTTATTTGGGCTTTGATTGTGTATGTTTAA